CCAAAAGTGTTTTGATGTTGGCATGTTTACTTTTGGCTATAGAAACATAGCTGTAGTGCTCCACCGCCCTATAATGAGGCGTGTCTAATGATACCCTGGTAGGCCTACAGTTCAATATCTTATATCAGTTAGGAATAGTAAAATGGTAATTTTTTAAACTCTTTTGTTAAAGTATAAAGTTATTTTTTGTATAAAAGCATAGAGTTGATATGGTATAGTATAAAGTACTTTTAAAACCTTTCGCCAATGCTGGCGTTCGCCTGGCGAACATCTGAGTGAGAGAGGCTTTACTATAAAACCCAAGGCAGGTGTTCGCCAGGCCTGGTGAACGAAAGGGATTGCCAGGCGCTAACATCTTGGATTCCTGCTAAATCTAGCGCTTCAGCGAATAAAAAAAAATGCAGGAAACACAAATTTGTTACATCTGCAGTGTGTTATCTAAACATATACATAAATATATATTGTTGGCACATAGCAGGGATTTTTTTTATATTATATTACCTTAATATTAAAATTAATATTTTTACTATACCTAACCGATATAAAATAATTAACTGTTGGGATACAAGGGTTAGGTTAGGTTAGACACGCCTCATTATAAGGCGGTGGAGACTAAAGCTATATTTCTATAGCCAAAAGTAAACATGCCATCATCAAAACACTTTTGGTAACATTTGTGAAAGGAAAATTATCCTTACAACCAAAATAACAACCTAAATCTAAACAAGTCATCTCGGAGGTAGGGGGTTGGGGGTAGGGGGGAAGGAATACAGCTTATGTCTTGAGCTCTCGACTGGAACATTGAAGGTCTTGAAAAAACTACGTATATATGTTATTTCATAATAATTTATGATTTTAAGATATTTTAGAATTACAATGTGATTCCTACTTCATATGCATAAATATGTTACTAATTTATAATTTGAAAGCAAGAAAATGGTATTTAAACACAGGAAAGGGAGGGCTCTCGCGACTTTGCTTCGCGTGGCCGTTCCAATACGATCGTTCGCCAGCCCTGGCGAACTTTTAATGGTACGAAATTCCTGATCGCCCGGCGAAACCTTTCGCCAGAACTAGCAAAAGGTTTTAAAAGTACGGGCCATAAAGTTAACCTTGTTATAGTACAAAGTGTAGTATAGCATAAAGTATAAAGTAAATTTTGTTATAGTATAGACAACATTTTCGTCTTCTCTTGAGGTTAATAATTAAGTTTAAGTGATGTTATGTGCACTGCAGATGTAAACAAATTTGCACTAGATTTAGCAGGAATGCAAGATGTTAGCGCCTCGCGATCCCTTCGCCCGCCCTGGCGAAAGTTGTTTTTAAAAGTAAGGCCTCCCTTCCTCGCCAGCACTGGCGAAAGGTTTTAAAAGTACGGGTCTTAGTTAAAGAATATCTATATTTTTTGTTGAGTTGAATATATATTTTCTGAATTTGAATTAGAGAAGTACTATATTTTTAATGTAGTTTTATGTCATCAGAGAGAAAGTACTTATTTTCCATATATATTTTTATGTAGTAATAAAGACCACTACATGGCACTGCCAGGTCAGGGCTTACCTGGATCTCTGGGTCCAAGGTTTTTCGTGTTTGTTCATCGTGGATGAAGTAAAGAGATTGACACCCCACGACGGACAAGACGATTGGCTCTTGGTGTAACTGCTTTGGGTGCAGTTGCGCAATACCTGCTTTGGGCTAGTGCCTTTAATTACAGCCTTGATGTGCGAGTAATTAAAAGCACGACGCACAGTGGCAGCCAATAGTTTCGCTGCGAAGTGTTCGGCCGAACACATAAGGGCTCACGCCCGTTCGGCAGGGTTCCGACCCCGACCGGCCTTCCCAAATAGAGACTGTTGGCTACCCTGTGTGCTTCACCGTTTTTTGATACCATTTCCGCCCTTTCATCGTCCAGTTAATTAGCTCTGCTAGCCTCCCCTCTACCCATCATCCATCACCCTCGCTATGGCGTAACCCTATGGGTCACGTATCAAATTAGCGTATTCTGGGGAGCCTATCTCTTGCGAGGAGGCTCTCCAGAATATCTTCATTATCACTGAGGTGGCAGTCACACACCTCTTTAAGGTCCATAATGGCTTCAAAGTGACAGTTGCCAAACCTGAACACTGACCCCATTTCTTTCGGCCGACGGCCAAAGAAAGTTAAAAGACCACGGCTTCTCACCTGTTCCCTCCCCCGAGATGAAGGCTAAATGTACGATCGTGGCCAAAAAGATCGACAAGACGATCCCCCCACGATCGTGCGAGTCCATCTGCCAGGAGGTTTCCGTCAAGAACGGTGTCACTGTTCTCGACGTCTATAAGCCACCCGAGTCGCGAATCGTCAAGATTCGCGTCTCATCCCCCGAGGAAGCCCAGAAACTTCTCTCTCGGGACTCATGATGTTTAATACATCGGTCCCCACCTACAACTGGAACCCGAATGCTTTATTCACAATGCCTAAACTGCTACCGCTTTCACCACAAGAAACACCAATGTACACACCCCCAGAGATGCTCTCGGTGCGCCGGCGACGGTCATTTCTTCGCCAGGTGCACTGAAAGCATCAAATGCTGCAACTGCGAGGGATCGCATGTCGCAGTTAGTGGATCCTGCCCTAAACGGAAGGAAATACTCAAGGCAAAACGAGCTGAGCTCCGCCAAGACACAACACTGTACCTTCCTACGCAACAACAGCTGCCACACGACCTGCTCAGACCAGTACACCCAGACGACCCACGACTTCCCCTCGGACAATTCTGCCCACACAACCCCCAACAAGCACTCTCACACCGAACACAAACCCAAAAATCCAAGCCATCTTACACGTAAGTCTCATTGCTGCCAAATACAACGCAAAAAGATTCGCAAACATTGTCCCTATCATGCTACAGAGAAACGGCTTCCCCAGCATTGTTGTCCCTGAGGAAATCTTTGAAGACGAAAACCTTTACATCCCTGAGTACACCACAACAAACACAGAAACCACAGGAAATGAGGTGACAGACACTCACCCAGAGCCTCATTCTTCCTCACAACATCGACACCTCGTTTTGCAACCTCAGCCACAACGAAGACAAAAAGAAACTGCACAGCACGCCAAACTACAAAAACCACTGATCACAAACGCAAACAAACCACACCACCATCCATGCACACAAAAAAAGACAAGAAGGATCCTCCTGCCCCGAAGCTCGTCGTCGCAGATTGGATGACACCATTCTCGACGACGACAGTAGCGACTCCGACATCGATGTCGAGAGCGTTCTCGAGGCCGGGCTTGGGCTCTCGGCTGGAGCCATGCTCCCTGCCAGGGGACCCCTGGGACAGCGCGGAAGCATCGGGAATTGGTCCGCCGATTCCCAGGACTTCCGCGTCGGTTCACAGGACTCCCTGCCTGACCTCGAGGAGCCGTCGATCGCGCATCGATCGCGGAGCCGCTACAGGGCTCAGGTAACGCCACGCAAGGTACACCCAGGTAGAATGGGTGTACCTTGAGTGGCTAACTGACGACCGACCGAGCCGACGCGGTTCTTCCACCGGTGGAGGACCCCGTGTTGGCTAGGTCGATCTAGACGCGCAATCCCACGCACGAGCTGCATCTAAACAAAACAAAAACTCTCTCCTTCACACACAAACATTTTACTCTCACTAACAACAAACACAACTCCAGCTTGTTCTGATGGAATAAAGCACTCAGACGGTTCCCTGTAGTGGGTCGTGACCGATCTATTACACGTCTGAACTCCGCGAGGAAGCCTCTCGCTTCCTCCTTAACATCCTGTGGGGTGAGTTGGCCTGTAGACAGACCAACAAACTCCGTGCTTGACTCACCACTGGCTGGATGGACTCACCCTCCATCCTTCGTTCCGGCAGGAGATCAGGTTTAGGCCGTGATCTCTTTCTTTGGCATGGGACAGGAAATGCAGTTTTCGGGTTTTGCAGCATCACTTTGAAGCCACCTTCTACTCATTCCTTTCAAATTTCCCCTTCCCCTATCCACTCGTTTTGTTCATTTTTCAGTGTTCAGTTTTGTGTTCTCTTTTTCTGTCTGTTAGTTTTGTTGTTGTTTGGTTTTTGTTGTCCTGTACCTTTTTAATCTCACTAATAAAGTAATCTCCCCCAGGTACTGCCCTCTCTTATCCCCGTTTTTAAATACCTTCACCTCGTCTCCTGACGCTTGTGACACCACCTCACCCCTCACCCCTCACCCTCACTCATACCATATCCCTGCCATAGCGTTGACCCTCATCCTTATCCTTACCCTGACATCCCACTGGTTTCGGTTTCCGACACGTGGCGCTTGCTGCTAGTACTCGTGCCAGGACCACAAATCCTTTAGCGTAAGGGTTTGTGCGAGCCGAGGAAAGAAGCGTCACGGCCAGTGGAGTTAACCAAATCGTGGTGAGGCCGCCCGAGCCGCGCCCCTCCGGAAGACCTGCGGCCGAGGGAGAGAAATCTCCTCTCGACCCGGGCGGGAGTGGCCAGCCTCTGTGTGGCCTCACTCGAGCTTCATCCTGCTTCAGCGGTGATGGTTAGCCGAGGGACAGCTCTGGAGCCACGGTCGAGAGGCCGTGGCTCCGAGCATACCGCAGATGGCGCCAAAAACCTGCTAACTTCTCTCCCCTCCCCCTCAGTTAGCCGAGAGGCTCCGTGGACGCAATAGCGGGCTCCGCGCCCCGTGGGAAAATTGTGGCGAGGCGAGCCGCGCTCAAGGTCGTGGGGTATTCCCCGCGCCACGAGTCGCGACCTTGCCTCGCCACACGATCCCGCGGGGTGCGGCCGCGCGGTGAACACGCGAGTCTGCCGATGGCGCTGAGCCCCTCGATCCTTTTCCTCTTTCAACAAACCCACTCCACTATTACCCCAGTTTACCCCGCAGGCTGGGTGAAGCCCCGGCTCCTTCTTCTTCTCCTGAAATTCTTTTCCTCCTCCTTATCCTTCTCCTATCCCCACTCTTCCTTCCCCCCCTCTTCTTTACATTTTATCCTTTTATCCTGCCAGGTCAGCACTATTTCAGTCAACAACCCCCAGCCTTTTGATCCTGCTTCTACATCATGTTTTTTTACCAAGTGTGGATCTCATGAGGCGGTTTCCCACATTTTTTGGTGCTCAGACCTGGAAAGCTTTAGATGTAGAGTCATCGTCCGGACAGGTAAGGTAACAAACATGGCAGTCACTTGAAGTATTGAAGAGGAAAAGGGTTGCATCAAGAGGTTGGTTGACAAGACCTGTACGGAACCTCCAGGAGGTTTTAAATGATAACAGTAGTTATGAGAAGTTAGATCAAGTTGCTGCTGAATTTGATAAGAGGCTAATATTGTTAGATGAGGCGCAGACAGCTGTTGAAGTAGAACTTGTTAATCCTGATGATTTAGAAGCAGACCTTGATGAGGCAAGTAATTATCGCAAAGCTGCGACAAATGTTAGATTTGAGGTCACCTTGCGAATGAAGAGAGCTAATGATGGCAGTGACAGTGACAAAGGCTCTGTCTCCAGTATGAGCACCTCAGATGCAAAGCTGCCAAAGCTAGAGCTTCCAAAATATGATGGTGATCTGACTCAATGGCAGTCATTTTGGGATAGATTTTCAGCCGCAGTGGACAGGACTGGCATACCTGTTATTACTAGATTCACAGTGTTACAAGGAAAAGCATTGTCTGCCATCCGAGGAGTAACACTCACTGTTCCAAATTACAAGATTGCATGTGATATATTGAAGAATAGATTTGGCCATCCTCAAATAATCATAAATGCACATATACATGCACTAATGAATATCTCTAGCTGCTAAAATAAAAGGAGCATGTAAGAAGTTTGGAGAGCTTTGGCATCAATAGAAAACAATTTGGCGTGGTGTTAGCTCCAATGGTCTTGGGTCAACTGCCTCAAGAGATAAGATTGGAATGGTCAAGGGAATCTACAGATCATGAAGGTGACCTGGAATGGCTGCTGACGTTCCTGCAGAAGGAGATAAGCCGTCGAGAGACTTTCCCGGACGTTGGGATGCAGAAGCCTGAACGACAATTTGTGGACTCGGAGAAAAGAAGAGTGCCACCTGCATCGGCTCTTCACACCTCATCTGAAGTAGGATCATCTTATTGTGCTTTCTGCAGCAAGAAGTACAAGTCTGAGAAATGCCGGGATATCCTGAAGCTCCCTTTGAAGGAATGTGAAGAAAAAAATCAAAGCTGCCCATTGTGTTTCAAGTGTTTGAGTAAGGGTCATATTTCCAGTGGTTGTCAAAGCAAGTGTTCTAAGTGTAATGGCAATCATAATTTTCTTCTGTGCAGATTGATGGGTGCAGTAAGCACACAAAAGGCTATGGAGAAAAGTGTGAGTGATCAGAAGGCTAGTGATATTGTAGACCCTTCTGAAAATTTCAATCCCCATGTGAATCCTGTTGGTGTGACTCTTAACAAGTGTAATGTGTTGACGAAAACTAGCTGTGTGCTACAAACAGCTAGAGTTAGTATTTGGCGAGTCAGGTGCTTGTTGTGAAGCCACCCTGTTGTTTGATACAGGCTCTGATAGGTCTTAGTGTGTCCAGTAATCTTGTGAAGAAAGTTAAGCCCAAGAGGATGAGCTCAGAGCCTGTATCATATGCTGCTTTTGGAGGTAGTAAGTCTCCTCCAGGTAAACAGAGTAATATCTTTGACTTGCAATTAGTAGGTTTACATGGTGCAAAACATTTAATGGCTTTAGAGATTGCAAAGGTTTGTGCACCATTGACTAGACCCTGTATTCCTAGTAATTTGGTTGATGCATTTTCTGATTTTCAACTTGCTGATGATTACAAGAATAATAGTCACCTGAATATAGATATACTTGTAGGTTTGGATGCTTATTGGGGATTAATGGATCCCGAAATTAAGCCACATCAGAGTAATGGATTAGTAGCCCAAAAAGTCTGTATTTGGTTGGGTGTTATCTGGTTCATGGAAGGTTCCTACTAACAGGAACTATGAGTCAACACAAATGTTGCTTATAGGAAATGTGACAGATTCTGATTTGCGTGAATTTTGGGATTTAGAATGTGTTGGCATAAGTTAAAAGGAAACTGTTCCTAGCCCATTTACCTCAGACCCTGTTTTGAAGCAATTTTGTGAAAATGTTAAGTTTGATGAGGGACACTATGAAATAGGCTTACCCTGGAAGTCAGATGACTGTAAGAAGAATCTTATGAATAATGAGGGAATTGCTAGGAAAAGGTTGCAAGGATTAGAGCGTAAGTTAGATAAGGACCCAGAGCTTCAGAAACAATATTCTAACGTGTTTACTGGTTATGAACAAGAGGGAATAATTGAGGAAGTCCCTTCAAGTGAAGTTGTAAGTTCTCAGCCTACTTATTATATGCCTCATCGTCCAGTTGTCAAAGAGAGTAGTTCTTCAACTAAGGTCAGACCAATTTTTGATGCTTCTGCAGCTAGTTATAATGGCATTTCTTTAAATGACTGTCTTGAGTGTGGTCCTTCACTTAAGGGGGCCGTCGAATTAATATTCAACGAATATTTTTAAAAATACTTGAAAAATTGAAAAAGTCTGTAATCTAGTCGGCTTTGGCAATCCCGTGACATAATATTTCTGCCGCGATGTGACCTTGTACCTGGCACCATCCCACAGTCGCGCCGATACATACTGTGTGATTCGCTCTCATCACACACTAAGAGGACACTACTAATGATAGATGTTATTCCTGTAACCTACTAAACATAATATGATGATAAATACATCTCAGTCACAGCTGCAGCAGTTGTTTATTCGTATGAAATGCCTCAGGAGACACTGCGAAGCCTGTGATGCCACAGGGTACTTCTAGAATCACATGCAGTTCTTGCTATTGGTACCTTGCAAAAGGGGGAACCAGGTACCAGCTACACTTCAGATTACTATGTGGATACCATAGAATGCATCAAGATTGATGCAGAGATCAGAATTCTAAAAAAAAAAAAAAAAAAAAAAAAAAAAACACACACACACAGGGAAAAGTATCCTCAACTTCAAAGCCGGATATCTCAAAACTACACCTTTGTCGACATTCTTTGTTGTTAATCCATGGCTACTCAGGCGATTTTAATGGGGTGTGGATAATTTGAAAGCTGAATGAATTTGCGATTTAAGTAACGGGTTAGTTTTTCATAGTAGGGGATGAAAGCCGATTTATCATATTTTATATAGGTATGAATGAACATTTCAAAAAAAATTTTTTTACACTAAACTAAGAGGAAATTTCAAAATCTTTTAGATAACTTTTATAGGTATTGCTATAGACTATATGTGGTAATTTAAACCAGTTCAGTCAATGGATAATTGAGATATATTTTTTTAAGAATTTCAAAAAACTTGTTTTTTAAAAATAATTTCATTGTTTATTATCCAAATGGTATGAAACTCGGTGATGTAAATCGTAGTATATGTATATATAACATATTAAAAAATTGCGAAGATCGGATCAGAAGTAACAAATTTCGTTTTCGGGTTTGACGGCCCCCTTAACCCTGATCTTGTGAAAGTATTGGTTTGTTTCAGAAATTGGAAGGTTACATTGACTGCTGATATTACAAAGGCATTCTTACAGATTTGTGTTCGGCCAGAAGACCGAGATGTTCATCGCTTTTTGTGGAAATGCAAAGACTCCATTAGAATGATGAGGTTTGGTCGTGTTCCCTTTGGTAACACAAGTAGCCCATTTTTGCTAAATGCAACCATTAAATACCACTTACAGTCTTGTCCTGATACTGAAGTAGTAAAAGAGTTAAAGGAAAACCTTTACATAGATGATTGGCTGTCAGGGACGGAGACTGCTGAGGGAGCTTGTGAGAAGTTTAAAGAGGCTCAAAGTATTTTGGCTGAAGCTGGGTTCCCTCTTTCTAAATGGCACTCAAATTGTAAATTGTTTGCCACAAGGTTTAATGACTAAATTGATCATGGTGATGAACATGCTAAAATCCTTTTTCAAGACATATGGAGACTTGGGTTAGATTGGGATGAGTTACTACCTAAAGAGGTGCAAAATAAGTTTCAGAATTGGGTTAAGAGCAATGCTCTTAACCCAATTCTGAAACTCAAACTGAAAATGCTCTCGAATATTGGAAGATTATTTGTTGTTATTTTCCAGAAATGTCCTGGAAAGAGTTGTCTGGTTTAGAACTTCATGCCTTTGGTGATGCTTCAGATAAAGGGTATGGAGCTTACGTGTACTTGAGAGTTCCCTTTGTGGATGGGACGTACCAGGTGTCATTAGTGGTAGCAAGGTCAAGGGTAGCACCTATAAAGAGGGTCACATTACCTCGATTAGAGTTGCTTGGTGCTTTATTTTGTGCTAGACTCTTAGATTTTGTGAAGTCTGAGCTCTGTCTCGATAAGACTGTGACTTATTGTTGTTGGACAGACTCAAAGGTTGCACTTGCATGGATAAAGGGTAATCCTTGTAGATAGAAGGTGTTTGTGTCAAATAGAGTTGTTGAAATTCAGAGTCTTACCTCCCCATGCCACTGGTACCATTGTCCAGGTAAAGAAAATCCTGTTGATCTTGTGTCTAGAGGGGAGTTAGCCAAAGGCCTTGTTAATTCTACTTTATGGATAAATGGCCCTTCTTGGTTGTCTGAACCTTTAACTCTAAGTGATAAAGGAGAAACTGTAGAGTTCCCTGTTGAAGAAAGTTGCAGTAAAGGGAATATTTCTTGTGTATCTGTAAACTCTCCTAAAATATTTGAGTTTGAGAGACGGAGTAACTTCAATAAGGCACATTGTGTGGTGGCTTAGGTTATGAGATTTATTAATAATGTCCGACCTCATTCTGTGAAGATGTCAGGTCCCTTGTCTATTGCTGAGTTAGCAAGGACCAAGACCAAATTGTTCTACTGTGTGCAGAGAGAGAATTTTGTTCAGGAAATTGCAGACTTGAAAAAAGGTAAATCTCCTTCAAGGGGTTCTCCTTTGTGTAGGTTAGATCCCTTTGTAGATGATGAAGGCCTGTTGAGAATTAAAGGACATTTGGAGAATGCTGATTGAAGTTTTGAAAGTAAAAATCCTGTTATTATTCCTTCAGGTCATGTTGCTAAGCTCTTGGTTCAATTTCAGCATATTTTTCTGAAGCATGCTGGAGTAGCAACCATTGCGTCTATTTTAAGAGGCAGTTTCTGGATTTTGGGAGTCAGGAGAATTGCTAAAACTGTTTGTAGAGTGTGTGTTAAGTGTAAGAGGTATGATTCTTGGGCTTGTAGTCAGCCTGCTGCACCTCTACCAGGATTAAGAGTTAAGATTGCTCCTTCCTTCACTGTGACAGGTCTTGATTATGCTGGTCCTCTCTTTTGTATTGATTTGCCTTCAAAGAAATTGTACATTTTGTTGTTTACTTGTGCAGTAGTAAGAGCAGTGCTCCTAGAACTAACTGATTCATTATCTCTTTCTGATTGCATGCTTGCAATACGTAGATTTGCAGCACAAAAAGGTCTTCCTTCAGTTTTTATTCAGATAACGCTAAAACATTTATGAGTGCAGCTCGTCAACTTCAGCAAGAATATGGACCATTGTCTCCTCAATGGAAATTCATTGTTCCCTGTTCTCCATGGTGGGGAGGTTGGTGGGAGCGTTTGATTAGGTCTGTTAAGTCAGCTTTGAGGAAAACAATAGGGGTTAAATGTTTGTCAAAAATTGAGTTAGAGGCCACCATTCAAGAAATTGAGGCTTGTGTAAATTATAGACACTTAACATATGACTCCCTCACAATTTCTCATTGGATGTAATGCTGGACCTCAACCCGAGGTTAATGATCAACCTTCATGTATCACAGGAAAGGATTTGATTATCCAAGAAAGTATTCACCAGCAAAAACTTTAAGTTTTGGAAATCATGGAGCAATGATTATCTAAGAAACTTGTGCAAAAATGTAATGTAAAGAAAGGTGCTATTGTGCTAGTCAGAGAAGACTATGTTCCTAGGCTAAAATGGCCATTAGGTGTTGTAACAGAAGTATTTCCAGGTAATGATAATATCATTAGGAGTGTCAGGGTAAAAACTGACCATTGCAGAAGTTGCATGATCTCGAAATGTATAGTGATCTTTATGAAGATTCTGATTCTGATTTGAGAGAATCTACCTCAAGGGAAATTGTTAAACCATCAGTTGCTGGAAACAATGAAAATAGTGCCTCTGAGCCTTGTGAAGAGAGCTGATTAAACCCTACTTCCTATAGGCAACGGGGTTGTGCCATAAAACCCCCAAATAAACTTGACTTGTAATAATTTGCTGTATTTAGTTTAGTTGTCCTTATTTCTTAAGGTTGAAATTAAGATAGAGTTTTTTAGTATATATGAGTTTATTGAAGCAAATTTCAAGGAGAAATTTGTCCTACCACTATTTCTCAGGATTTATTACTTCATTTAAGTATACTTAGTCTATGATAGGAGTAAGTACTCCTATGGTGGGGAGTATGTTAAATATGTTAGTTACCCCTTGATGCTCAGAACACTACATTTTGTGTGTTTACCCTGTTCCTTTGTTTTTAGTTCTTAGTTAAAGAATATCTATATTTTTTGTTGAGTAGAATATATATTTTCTGAACTTGAATTAGAGAAATACTATATTTTTAATGTAGTTTTATATCATCAGAGAGAAAGTAGTTTTTTTCCATATATATTTTTATGTATGAATGCTTTTAGCAATAAAGGCCACTACGTGGTACTGCCAGGTCAGCACTGTTTCAGTCAACAACCCCCAGCCCTTTGATCCTGCTTCTACATCATGTTTTGTTACCAAGTGTGGGTCTCATGAGGCCGTTTCCCACACTTAGAAATGATTTGCCAATTTTAAAACTTATTGCTCCTTTTGAATCAAATGTCTTGCAATGTTTGTTGCTTAGTAAAATATCTTGTGCATATATTATTTGTTTCTTTTGTTTTAATGCAAGAAAAAATCTTGAAACAGTGCTGAGATCTAAATAGAAAAATATATATACTTTCATTTAAATATAATAAAATGTGAGGGGAAATGTTTGGGTCTGTTGGAATCAAAAAGGGCTGTCATGCAAGAGATCTAGGTACTTCATAACTCAATGCAATAATGATAACAATAAGTAACATTCTGCTACTTGCTGTTTTTCTTCCATCATGCTCAATTTGCTGTATCACAATCTGTGCCCCTGGTCATGGTTGGCAGGAATAAGATCCTGAGCATGGAAATAGTGTCCTCCCTAGAGCCAGCATTTTCCCAGTCATAGCTCACAGATTGTATGTGCGCGCTCCTTTATCGATAAGAATAATGCAAGAGCCCCTTCCTAAATAACCACTGATTAATTAAATCTAAATTTTGATATTTGAAAAAGTAACCCATGACACAAGGTCTGTAGAAGTGATCTATCTACTAAAGTAATGGTAACAAATTTTACAGGCATTTCTTTTTGGCATTTAGTGTATTTGATTCAGAAATTTGATACATTATTGTATGCAAGATGGAATAATGTAGTATTGCATAAATGTAGATATATAAGAACCCTTTCTGGCA